GGTTGCTGCTGAAAAGAGCAGTGACACCTTACCGAGCTCCTCTTCGCATGGTGCCTTTCTCTGCCGCATTTTATGGGCTGGTGGAGGTAGAGGAGGAGCACACCCAACGTGCTGCATCTTACATTTTCATGACGACACATTACAAGGGCAGGAAGAGGAATCTAACATGGGGATGCTGTTCTTGTCCATCACCACATCTTCTCGGGAACTGAAATCAGTGGAACTTGTTTTCAAGAAAACGGAAGATGAAGCACTATAATTTTATCACTGGAATAGCCCCTACAGTGGTACATTATTTAGAGACAGTTGTTGATCCAATAATACTTTGCTAACAGCAGTGATATTGGCCTATGTGGCCCCAGGCCTGTAGCAACAGTGGGGCATTTCGGGGCCTGGCCCCCTGACTTCCATCCAGCCCCCCCGGTTCTCTGGGCTGCTTGGAGGACTCCCAACTCTCTGGGCTGCCTGGAGGACTCCCCACCACCACCCCTTCCCCAAGCATGGCTTGTTTCCCCGTGTAGGCAAGCAGAGTGTGAATGCTGCAAAAGTGAGTTTTTTTAATTTTTATTTTATTTTGTGACATCAGTGCCCCCTGACTTATTTAAAGACCCCTTGAATTACAAAATTCTGGCTACAGGCCTGTGTGGCCCCTAAATTCAACTTTGTCACAAGAGCAATGGATGGAAGTCTTTATTGATACTTCTAGCTACGGAAAGTTTAGCAGCATTCTCTCCTTTTATCTTTTCCCACCCTCACTTGGAGGGCTGTGGAACGGATGGCCCATCAAGCCAGTGTCTTCAGGGGGCTACATGAAGAAATCAAGGAACAATGAAATTGAAAGGTCTTGCAAAAGGGGGGACAGCTAGGCTTTAGCTGTAATCTGTACATTCAAAGCTTGGAAGAGCCACTAAATATCTAAACCACTCAGTTTTGGTTTTATGTATAGTATTCCAGACGTCTTATAATTAATACGTAATCCTGCAATTTCTCTCTTCATTAATTCAGGTAGTGCTTCTTTAGGATTTACCATTAATACAGCTACATCATCTGCAAACATATTAATCATATGTACAAGCCCATTTATCTCTAGACCTTGAATTTGCTTATTAGCCCTTATTGCAATTGCCAGAGGTTCTAATGAAAGGCTAAAGGGCTGACAAGGGGCAGCCCTGTTTAGTTCCTCTAGTCAGGGGAAAACTAGCAGAATCAAAACCATTTATTTGTACTCTAGCTTTGAACTTTTGATATACTGACTGAATTGCATTCATAAAATATTGACCAATATTTAATTTTCTTAGCAGTCTAGTGATAAAGTCCCATTCCAAATGATCAAAAGCTTTCTGTGCATCGAGAGTTGCTATGGCTAATAGTGTCTGGTTGGTTTTTTTATTAATGTAAATGGCGTGATCTGGTCCATGGGGTCACAAAGAGACGGACTCAACTGTGCGACTGAACAACAACAAAAATGGCTGAAGCAAAATGGCCAGAATTTTATGCTACGGCGCCATCTGCTGGATGGTAGGCTGAGGAGACAGATAACGGGAGGTTTAGATATGACACATTTAGGAGTGGGCAGGAAAAAAAACACCAACTCACAAAGATGCAGAAAGTGTCAACTCATCGAAACCAAAGGAAAATTAAGAGGGCGTTGCCGTCTTCGCTGGGCCTGTGTGTTAATACCCCAGGAAAGGGGGGGGAGGGGCTGAAATCTCATCAACTTGATTCTGCCACATCATTTATAGATCACTGGGGGTGCGATTCACTGTTAGCTAAGTGATGAAGTTTAGGATTTCCCCACAAAACTGATTCCCACTTGGGCCCTGATGATTTCCTGCAGGGTGTCTGGGCCATGGAAAGGGCGGTGATTCCAGCAACTGCTGCTGAATCAACACTGCAGTAAAGATCAGGGATGACCAAGCTCTGTACGCTAAGGAAACTGTCATCTAGACAGTGAACTCAGGGCTGGAGGTGAATTTAATCGCACAAATTATCCCTCTCACAATCACATGTGCTCTCAGTCCATAATAAAAGTCAGCACCACCCACAGTTACTCATACCTTACAACATTCAGATGAGACTGTGGTAATGTGCTTGACACTGGGCTCTTTGAAGAGTGCTTGGGAACTGCTAGTTGTCCAGGATGCAGCTGCCATGTTTTCGACGGCGTGAGCTACTGAGTCCATAACATAACAACTTTAACTATCTCTGTCAGCTTCCGGAGTCTGTAAGCCCAAACCAAAGTGGTGCTCTTGACCTTCAAGGCCTAAACTGTCTCAGACCACCTTTTTTGTGTATGGATCTTCCCAGAAACAAAGCAAATCTTCTCCATGTTATAGACCCCCTTGTGAAGTCTTCAAAGGATGTACCAAATTCCATTGGCCTAACCATAATAACTTTGTACTGGGGTGGAATGGCCACTACTCCTTTACTGGAGACATTTCTCTTCCCCCGCCCAGCAAATAATCTTATGTGGGAAAATGGATCATGTAGGAATGTACACTTGGGAATTTACTAATCATGATCAGACCCAAACTGCACCACACTCATAAACACTGGAAATGTCCCACTTGCCTGAGCTATTCCATTATCTTGGGCATTTGTCTGAGGTAAATGTTGCTATGCTGGATGTTACTAGGTTAGCAGGCTTGTTTGCGGTTAAAGCAGGCTAAATGGTATGTTTATCTGACCACATATCTTCATCAGAGTAACTACAGCCAATAAATGCCATTAAATGCCAACAATTCCCTTCAGTCCTTTACATAGGACAAACAGGTTACAAACCCTATAAATGGACACAAATCGGACATCAGGAATCACAAAACTGAGAAACCTGTAGGAGAACATTTCAACCTTCCTGGGCACTCAATGGGGGACCTCAAAGTAGCTGTTTTATTGCAAAGGAATTTCAGAAACAGACTGGAATGGGAAATTGCTGAATTACAAGTTATTACAATACTCAGGACAATGGAACCCGCAGAGCTTAACAGAGATATCGGCTTCTTATCTCACTACACATGCTATGTCACTCAGTTCTTACTTATACCAGAAATTAAACTTTGTTGGTTTTGAAGGGGCCACTGGACTCAAACTTGTTTCTCACATCTGTTGTTAACTCCTTTATTATCTGTGTACTAATTTGCTGCTATGTACATGTCCTACCAAATGTGTTATTCCAATCTTAGCTGTATTTATTGCTCAGTTACTTATGCATCTTGACTCTAATCAGCTCTTCCTGGCAACTAACTCCCACCACCATCTGCATGTAATATGAGGAACTCTGTTTCAGTGTATGTGAAAAAGTGCACAATGTGCTGAGTCTCTGCTCTTGCATGTACATAGGGTTGAGCTTGGTTTGTCTTGGGGGTGCCGCTGGACTCTTAGCTTCGTTCTCACCTCTCTTTGTTGGCTCTTGCGTTTATGTGCTAATTTGCTGCCATTCATTGGTCTTACCTGCCATCTGATCCGATTTCGGCTCTACTTATGCATCTTGGCTCTGAGTGGCCCTTCCTAACAGCTGCCCTTGCCCCTCTCTTTTCTTGTAAACAGGGCTTGATGTTTTATTCTGTTGTGTCAGAAGTGTGTGTGCACACGAAAGCTTATACTTCGAATAAAACATCATTCTCCCTTCTGCTATTTTATCATCACAGCCCCCACCCTGTGAGGTAGGTTAGGCTGAGAGAGATGACTGGCCCAAGGTCACCCAGTGAGCATCCGTGGCAGAATGAAGACTTGAACCTGGGTCTCTCCCAGATCCTGGTCTCACATTTTAACCACTGCACCACCACTTAACTTATCACGTGACAAGGAATATTCTTTATCATTCCACTGCTTCCCAAGGTTTCTGGCAACAGAACAGTTAGAAGCAGTGCTCCCTCTAAGCTGTGGAGTCTTGTGAGCAAAAATTCTACTTTGTGAGCTACTGGCATTAAAGTTGTGAGTGAGCGATCTGGATACTGCATAAATTAGTGTGCTCTGGAGCCATCCCTTCCTGAGCTAAGACAAAAATGTATGAGCCGGAGGCTAAAAAACTGGGAGCTAGCTCACACTAACTCAGCTTAGAGGGAACGCTGGTTAGAAGTAGAATTAGGATAGATAACTCAACGTTGATATTTTTGTTTGTATGCTCAACTGGACAGTTTTTAATGGGTAAATCCTTGGCCAACGTACTTGTTTGGTATGTTTGGGAGGGCCCATGGCTTAGTGGTAGAGCATCTGCTTGGCATGCAGAAAGTCCCAGGTTCAATCCCCCAGCATCTCCAGTTAAAAGAACCAGGTAGTCGGTGATATGAAAATCCTCCACCTGAGACTGAGTAGACGATACTGACCTTGATGGACCGATGGTCTGGTTCAGTATAAGGCAGCTTCACATTTTTGTTCCTTTTCTTTGCTGTTGTTGCAGTCAAATAAATCTTCATTAATTTTTTTGAAAATTATCAAGGTGGCTTAGGTAAATGACTACATGCTCACCGCGGTAGGGCGCTGTTTGGTACATGGACAACAGAGTACAAGGTTTTGTTAAACAAAATATTGCAGACACCAATCAGACCTATGGGATGGAGGCAGGAGCACCGGTCTCTCAAACCACAAAGGTCCTTGCAATGCTCCCTCTAAGCTGTGGGGTCTTGTGAGCAAAAATTCTACTTTGTGAGCTACTGGCATTAAAGTTGTGAGCAGGTAATTTGGCTACTGCATAAATCAGTTTGCTTTGGAGCCATCCTTCTTGAGCTAAGACAAAAATCTGTGAGCTGGAGGCTAAAAAATTGTGAGCTAGCTCACAATAACTCAGCTTGGAGGGAACACTGTTCAAAAGCACAGCCAAGAGCTACTGGGGCTTCTGTATGTAGGTAAGTGGCTTGTTCTGTAGCCATCCACAGGCATTTAAAAAGTAAATTTCTGATTCCTGCAGTAGTGATGCAGCTGCAAACCACAAAACAAATCAAACTTCAGCCAATAACAACGTAAGAAAAAAATTAATGACTTTATTTTTTTTTTTAGTTGGCGACCCAAGGTGCTAAAATCTTTAACACCATCAACACAAGTGTGCATAAGAACATACAGAATGAAATGCAACCAAGTGTGTGTGTGGGGGGAGAGTAAAACGGACTTGGGTTTCTTAGACATGAAAAAAGTACAGTAAACACAGTTTCCTGTTACACTGCACAGACGTCGGCTATAAAACAGTCTGAATATCAGAGTTCCCACCTGTCCCAAGGGGAAGGTACCACATTAAATCCCTTCACTGGGACTGGTTTTGACATACAAATGTACTTTTCTCTCTCTCTCTCTGTACACGTGTACACACACACACACACACACACACACATATATAAAATTAATTTACTGAAATGCCATCAGAACATGACATTACCCCAACCTGTATCTTTAGTGACATTCTCATCCGTTCAACTCTACCCCGCTTATGAAATTCCATCAATTGTGCCCTGGAAGGTGGGGGAATCCTTGGGAGCTTCTATGCGCATCAGGCACTGGGAGGGATTCTCCTTTGCCTCTAAGCATCAACCACCTGCTTCATGATGTTCTTTATTGCAAAAAGAAAAACTAACAGTCCCAACTCACAGCATGTTTTTTAAAAAACTCATGAATTTGAAACACACACACACACACACTTTCCTCTCTGAGTCCAAATGTAAACAATCTGGTTAAATTTGTTTTCTTAAACCCAAAACGAAGGGAGCATTTGGAGGAGGGGGTGACCATAGTTTTGGGGTGTTTCTTCCCCTCTATCAAAAGTTCACACTAGTAGATCATGCAACGGTAGACGTAACTGTGGATGCTGTGAAGCATTCTGTATTTTTTTTTAAAAAAAGAAAAGATTAAAAACCCACAGAGAGAGCAACAAGTGTGCTTCTTGTTACTTCTGCATTAGCACCATGTCCTAAAAAGGAGGGCCAAACGCTGCACTTAAAAGACAGAACGAGACTCCCGGATGAGACCACGGAGGCCATAAAGTCTTACAGGAAACGTTAAGACAGCGGGAGAGAAAATACGATTCGTGTTCCTGGAGCAATAAAATCCACCATTCAAGCTAGAAATATAGCCAGCCTGTCTCTACATTCAGTACATGGAGATGTAGACCCTTACTGGGGCTTGAGCGAAAACTGTAGGGGTGGAAACAGACTTGTGATGTTGTTAAGAGTTGAAACGCACTCTTCTAGTTGTCCAGCATGGGGCAGCTTGGGACGGAAGCGTGATTGTTTATACTGAACTGACATACCGACTGACGTTCTTCTGCACTGCTGTAGAGCACAAGCAGGCATAAAAGGCCAGCCAGATTCCTATCAGTTTACAGGATGAAGGCTGGTTCTTAATAGCCGTATTGACGCGGGCATAGCAGAAATGGTCTGCAATCCTACCGACAAACACAATCCGTACTTTGCCTCATCGTGGCCAGAACAGACATGATGGTGGGTGACGTGTGCTCTGTTAGTTCAGAGCCCTCAAAGAGCTGCGGTGCAGGCCCCAATTCAAATCAGGACTCTGGCACGGGTGGAGAAGGGGGTTAATCCACATGGCGTCGCTAAATGAAGTCAGCCTCCCCACGCTGTTCGGAAAAGAAAGCAGGCACCCTCTCTTTGATCGACATTACAGAAAATAAAACTGTGGAATAATAGCTCCGTCCTGGATGAAAGGACGCTTTAATCTCCAGCGTACAGCCATACTCCCTTTGCTGCTGGGCTGCAGCGGTGGAGAAGATGCTGTGACTGAAGCCACATTTTCCTCTTCCTAAATGGCAAGAATGGGTAGTGATCCCATGAAAACCTCCCCTAGACAACCTAGAATAACTCAGAGGCGCACAAATCTTCAGAGACCACGTTTGGTGTGCATTTTGCCTGTGCAATATATTTCTGCCTTCCCAGGTTCTACAAACTCAGACTCTGGCACTAAAACTTCTGTAGTCACATTCCAGGGCTTTTGTGTAGCTAGCTTTCTCCCTACCACTTTACCAACAAGGGAATCCTTGGTTATTTCAAGCTTCAACACTCTCATATGGAACTAGATAAGCACTTTAAAATGTTTTCTATACAATTCCTAACTTCTGGTGGAGAAAGAGGTGGCATTTTTCTACTACAATACAGGGTTTCGTTTCACAAAACTCAAGATGAAAATCAAAGAAAGGGTGCATACACCATGTATATAACAACAAGCAAGACTGCTTAGATGTTCAGTGTGCAGTCAGGAGCAAACACAATAGAAGAATGTGACGGCCTCGCCTTATTGCGCTATGAGAGAATCCTAGGATTTCCTACCTCCTAACTGAAATATTTTATTGCTCTTCTTCAGGAATGAATTACTGCATGGGAATGACAGGAGGGAGGTGATTTATCAGCTTTTGCAGGAGGCAGCCCATTTCCAAGGATCCATTCCCCAAAAGCCAATTAAAAAACAAAAACAAAAAAAACCCCTCAAAACAAGACTGTACTTCCTTTGGGGAATAACGTTCCCCCCCACAGAAGACCAGGCTTTTTAAATGTACAGTCTGACATTCCTGTTCTCTTTGAGGGAAGTGGCTCGTGGATAACCAAAGAGACCATATCCAACACTCACAACTGAAAATCTAAACTGGCTGAAGGATTTCCAACAGCAGAGTTTGGCTTCTTTGCCGCTCCCCTGCTGCTGCTGCTGCTGCAGTCTAAAACGTACCCCCTCCCCAAATGCTGCTGAGGGGGGGGGGGAGTCAGAGGAAGCCAGGGCTGAACTGGCAAAAATCCCTCACAGGCACGAAAGCGATTGGTGGGATCCAACTGCTGAGTTTAAATCAACAGCGGTATAGTAATGTAAATGTGAAGGGAGAAAGAGAAATCCTGGCAGGAGGACACCAACCAACTCTACAAGTCAATCTACTTTTTATGGTTTGTTCTGCCCTTTCTGTTTATAATGCCTACCCTTGAACACCCTGCTTTGTAAATTAAATTTGAATTGGCGACTGGAAAACGAGATGAAATAAAAGAGATACGCACACTTTAAAAAAAAAATCCACCGGAAACGGAAAGACCAGCTTCAAAAATGTATATGTGCAGATTTTCGAAGAGTTGGGCTGGAATTTGAAATCTTGAATATGAAAGACGCCAGTCCTACAAACCCTCTTGTCAGCCAGACTCCGAGGAAACATACTGAAAAATAAGTGGGCAGGCCTGAAAGCAGGCGCTTGCATGCCCGAGTTTAAATGCGACTCTTCCACCTGGATGATTTCCTTTAAGCCCTCAGCCCCACTTAGCCTAAAGATCAAAATGTACAGATATCCCATTTGAAGAGCAGCATGAACCAAGGGGGTTGGACTGTCACTCTGGGCCATGCCTTTGTGGAGGAAGGACATTAAGGGACACTTGGCAAAACCCGTGAAGGGCTTCTGTTTCATGACGTAATTAAAAAGAGAGACGTTATCCTTGAATGGAGCAATACTGTCTGCAGAAAAGCGATAGCAGCTGAGACACATACTGGAAACTTCCTGTGCACTCACCGTATTAAAATTGGGGGGGGGGGGACCATGTAACCACGCTGTTGGACCAATCTTTTTCTCTATATATCCTCTTTTTGTGCAGGCCAGTCTACTTCTGTGTGGATTATTAATTCCAGGAGCTAACATAACCCACAGCTAGATTTTAGGAACGCAGGCTGAGAAAACTCTTAGGAGTTTGTAAGAATTCGGTTTCCTTTCCCGAAAACAAAAATCTTCAATTTCAAGCACTATTTTAAAAAGAAACTAGAAAAGCTGAGAACAGATTAAGACGGTCTTTTACCACCCGTTCAGGACACTAAAAAGATCTTTTAAAAATATGAAGCACTGCTCCCCTGTGCGTGCTACCTGCTGCTGAAAGAAAGCATGGCTACGAGAAAAGCAAACCTTGTGTAACATTACAAGTTAGAAGGAAGAGCTGTATTAAGTCTCACCAGTCAGCTGCAACACCTTCATCAGTCTGCACCAAGACACTTAAAAAAATAATAAAGCAGAGAAACAATACTCCTAACATCTGAAGCATCTCTTTCTTTTTAACATTCAAATAAGGAGGCCATTTGCACATCATATATGAGGAGAAAATGCCCTCTCTCTCTCTTTGGCAGCCCTTTACGCCCTTCATACCAATTGGAAAGGCTCCTACGTAAAAATGCAGAAACAGTCCTACTGAGGAAATGGTGCCTCCTGTTCACACACTTAAATTCAGGCAAAGGCTCCAAGGCCTGCTGTTTGTAAGTAGGTTAAAAATGGCAATGTCTTCCCCCAGGAATCTGTACCTAGACTGACTTTTAATGCACTGTGACGTAAAAAAAGGTACACAAGTTCTGCTTGAACGCTCAGCCTACATCTAAGGATTTTTGTCTTCTTTTAAATTATCTCACACATGCTCCCTTTGTTCGGCTTTCTGAGAGACAAGCAGCAGGGGTCATTTGCCATTAACTGGAAGGCTTAACTTTTCCCCACTGCAGTGCTGAAATGGCACCCGCAGAGCTCTGGCAGAATGGTTTGCGGTCCCCTTTCGGAGGCACCAGCCGCGGATGACAGCGAGGAAGCCCTGGTGGCTCCGTCTCACCCAAACTGGGCTAGCAATTTCTGAAGGACTGCTACTTCACCTGCCAACCGATTACGGGACAGTGCTCTTACCCCTCTGAGAGAGTTGTGGCAAGAGTGTTTTTTCTCTGTCAAAGCACTGCATTCTGGGAAAGCAGAGTGCTGCAAGTCTCTCTTCTGCATATGACTGACGGCACAGAAATGCTGTTCTTGTCTTAAACCTGGGAACCAAAAGCGACATTCCTCACCCCCTTCCAAAGTGGACTATCATCTCCCTTGGCTGTAAATAAAAGAAACAGCACATTAGACGTCCACAGAGATAAAAATAAACATCGTTTCAATACTCGCGGCCAAGTCACCTTAAAAAAATTAAAATGAAGAACAGAGTTTGGAAGCTGCAGGTTGGCACCATCCAGGGAGATACGGCAAAGGACTGTGTGCTTACGGGACCTTTCAGCTGGTGACAGAGAAGAGTCTAGTCTGTGTTGTGTTCTATTTGCTACGGCATTGGGTGAGGAGGAGCCCTAAGCCCCCAAACCCTTCCTGACCCCTACAGAGGAAGGCTTGGGGGAGACCTAGTGGGGCTTGTGCTAATCCTTCACTTGGAGGCAGGCTGGAAGGTACCAGCATGGCTTGCCCTTTAGATCCACTGGGGGGGGGGTGGACATAGGGAAGAGAGGGAGCGGCCGTGCCTCCACACTGGAGTGCTTTCGCTGCAAAACCTGCAGCAGGAGTTAAACTAAGTAAATAACCTTTCCCATCAATTCAGGGAGCAGAACACGGAGAATGAGTGCAGGACGAAAAATCCTAACATCGACCATCTCTGCAGCAGGTGGGAGATTTGTCAAGGAATCTGCTTGGAAATCCTGCATCTTTAAGGGGTGGGCACTTCAACACGGTTCAAGGGGCAGTCCAAGACACAGATTCGATGCTCTGGGACTTCAAAAGCATCTCCCCTCCATGGCTGAGCACGCGTAACAGAAACACCATTGAGAAGAACCCTAATGAGTAGACTCAGGGAGAGGTCGGATGAGACGAAACAAAACAGATTGGGGGACGGGGGGCACACAGCAGGCACACGTAATCCCATCATCACTCGCTCACCGCTCGCTTAGAAATGTATAAACACAAATCTTCTTTTCAAGTATTAAAAAAAATAAAATAAGTTAATGAACATTAAAGGATCCTAAAGTGACTAAAGGGCCCGGGCAGGTCTTTTGCTTCATTTCCGATGTGCAAAAAGAAAAAGAAAAACACCCCTATTAAAAAAAAAAAACCACCCTCCTGAACAGTCTTAAGGGTTTGCTCTTGGGTATTAAGAAGCTGGAGGACGCTTAGAAACAGCTGCCTCCAAAATGCTTCAAAATCAACCCATTTTCATAAATCAGCACTTTCCAGTGTCAAAATGTTCACAACGGAGAACTTCAATAGTCATTTGTCCTCTTCTTTTTTCTTTAAGCGTATCAATGGATAGCAGAACACAGTTGCTTTCAGTCCAGAGAACGAAAGGGTTGAGAAGGGATGTCTCCCCCCCCCCCCCGATTCCCTTCTGATGGCCATGGCAACTGGTGGGTGGGCTGCAGGGACTTCTTGCAGAAACCGGCAAACTTTTTGCAGAGACCCATGTGTGTCTCAAACTAAAACCAGCCTTGACAAGACTCCAGTCCTCTCTGTCTCCGGGGTCCTTCCATGCCCACATAAATGAATGGCAGCTTCAGGCTTCTTTGGTGGGGAGAACTTTTGCATCTACACCTTTCCGAGCTCTGGGACTGGTGGGACTCTCCGGGTCAAGGGGTTGGCTCTCCTAGGAGCTGCTGCAGGATGTTGCCGTTCTGTACAGAAGAGATAAGCCATTTCTCTCCTCCATATTGGGGGGGGGGAATGAGAAACTAAGGCAAAACATGAAAAGGGACAGGCTGCAAGTCCACCTGGATCAGGTTTGCTTGTGTGTTTTTTTTTAAAAAACAACAACACAAAATATTTTCAATCTCCTTCCAAGAAGGTTTGTGAGCAGTTTCTCAAAGAATGCGGAACAAATAAACAGACAAAAACAACACACCCCTCAATGGCCTCTTGCACAGGTCCGCGAGGAAGGCACGCAACCTCAGGCCGCCCACCTTAGGCTTCGGTTTGCAGACCCCACACTGGACTCGGCGCCTCTAGAACCGGCCTCTTTTGGAGGGGGGAGCCTCTAGCTCAAGCAGTCAGATGCTGAAATAACAACCCCGTCCAATGAGGTTTCTACACCAAGCTGCCTCCACCACCCAGGCAGCTCCAGCCAACTTAGCATACGCCAACAGGACGTCACCGATCAGCAGCAGGGAACAGCGTAAGCTCAGGACCAGTTCAAGTTGAACCCCTTGGATAGCATGACCGCCTCCAGGTCCTTGTCTTCCTCTCTCTCCCGGAGCCGCTGCTCCTCAAGGAGGGCCACCAGAGAGTCTCTCTGCTCCACCACTTCTAGCATTTCATTCAGGATCCTCTTCTCCTCAGACAGCTCTTCATCCGTCTTGAGGTGATCTAGAGAGAAGTATCCAAAGCTTTAGCTCAGAGGTATCAGATGTGCTGAGACTTACTACTGAAAAGAGGTATACACCAGTGTTCTTCTATAGGACATGGCTACTTGAAAGTTAGAACATTCCCTTTTATTTGTTTGTTTATACGAGACACAGTGCATTCTGGGTCACATGAGTCCCCTCCACCCGTTTCATTGATAAATAAAAGAATGGGCAGAGTGAGCTTCTTACAAACTGTAGGTGAAGGTCACCCAGCAAATTCCCATGGCACGAGTGGGGATCTGAACCTGGGTCTCCCAGATACTAATCCACCAGCACTCTTAACTCAGTTCAGAGCGTAGGTGATGGAACGATCCCACACACGCGCACAAAGTTCTTACAAAAAAGAAAACTAGAATGCCAAGAGAATGCTAGGCTATAACTCATCTCATTGATGTACCCGCTTTCCACATGCAGGGGCTTCTTTTTTTTTTTTAAAGGGAGGAGCATTCTATCAGGAAAGTATCCTTGCAGTCAGAAATCACATAGTCCAGGCTCAGCTTTCCGACCTCATCTGTTCTTTGCGAGAACTAGGCCACAGAGACAGGTTGTGGTTCAGATGAATAGAGCTTTCTGAATTCTTCTTTAAAAATATATTCATATATTCAGAACTGAATGCATGAATATTCAGAACTGAAAGACGGAACTGATAATGACTTTCACTCCCCATTGAGCAGATCAAATCATTTAAATACTTGGAGATCAATTTCTACTACAATGGGAGCTGGGTTACTCACTGCAAATGTGCTACTACTCTAGCAAGAAACAGTGCTGAGGTCATCGCCCGCTTTTTCTACTTGAGAGGCAATAGATATGGCCCAATGGCCTTAAAAGCCTTCAATACAAAATCTAGTTCACAATTTCTATTTGGTGCTCCCATTTCGATAAGCGCAATTAACCAATCAGCAGAGGGTTTACAATCCTTTTTTTTGTGGAAAATCCTTGGACTCCCTAATTGTGTCCCATACGCTGCGATCTTCTTGAAACCGGCCAGATGCTGCTGGAAACTCGGAACTGGCTTCTGACCATCAAATTCTGGCTGCGGCTTCTGTTTAATCCTGACCCAAATTCCTTTACCTTTTTAATGCTGACAGATCATTATGAAACTAATTGGCTGAAATTAGTCCAAAAAAAATTAGGTCCTTAGGAATATATCTAGATCTGCTTTACTTATCATCTGCCTCCACAATATTTTATACAATTAAACTCAGGCTTCTAGATATTCAATTTCAGCGCCTGACTGAGGCAGCCAGGAAAACCTGTTCCCAGTTCATCTGGGATTATCTCAGACACTGGGCCAGACACCTACTTATTTTTGTTCTCTAACTGATCACCATCAAAGAAGGGCATTTATGTTAGCCAGATTTAACATATGCCCATCGGCCATCTTCTCTGGAAGATGCCAAAAAATCCCCTATGAACATAGGCAATGCCGCTACGGTCAGGGTGCTATCAAATCCGTTGCCCATGTTCTTTTAAATTGTCCATTTTATACTAAGATTCAAGGAAAATTTCTGGACACCCATCTTTTTACATGGCGTGGTCTCCCTGAGAGTGTCATGGTCCAGTTGCTACTCTCTGGGCAAAACGCTTCTATAACTTTTACTGTTGCTCGTTTTCTTCAATCTGTAATTCGAACCAGGGAAACTATTAATTGATCAGTTCTTTTTTGTTGGCTGTTCGACAGCCATACCTTTGATCTATTCCTAAATTTTAATGTTATCTTATCTCTTACATGCCAATAAAGGTTGTCTGTCTGTCTGACTTTCACTCTTGGGGACCCATGAATGGTGCCATGGCACGCCACGTCGACAGTGTCTTGTCGCACCACCTGCTGTTTCTCCTGATTTGTCAGGGATGTGCTTGCCACTGGAAAAAGTAAAATTCTTCTGGGGCCAAACTGTTCACCAAAATCCATGTTCTTACCCTCCACCGCCATCCTCTCTCGGAGCTCTTGCTGTAGCCGGCTTTGCCTGTCCTCCAGTTCTAACTCACGAGCGCTGCAAGGAGACACAGAGGAATATGTGTGTTTTCTAGTCATAGTGATTTGGCCAGGAGTCTAAATTTACTGACCAAGTATGTGAAGACGGTCAGGAAGCTGAATGTCCCTGGCGTCACCCCTCAGTTCTGAGAACAGGACCACCCTTCTTCAATAGGCTTCTTTATGATACTAAAACATCTGAGGATACCCCAGTGAAAATGATGGGCAGTAGAATCAGGATAGACACAAACAGGGACTTCTTTCATACAACGTGTGGAATTTTATAACACAGAGGTGGGCCTATGGCTTTAAAAGGGGATAAGACAAATTCAGTTTTGTCCTGGTGGCTAAATGGAACTTCCATGTTCAGAGGCAGCATCTCCCTGAATATTAATTGTGTGTGTTTGGGGGGCAACACTCTGCCTTCTGTGCTGTGCTTGCAGGCCTTCAAGGGGTGTGTGATTGGCCCCTGTAGGAAATAGGATGTGTGACTGATCCAGCAGCGTACTTATGTCTTTATCATTAACAGAGAAACCGTAGTTTTCTACCGTGTTAACCCTGTGTATGATCACACACATTTTTATCTTGTCTTTCCTCTAAAGAACTTAGAGCAGCATATGTGGTTCTCATTTTACTCTTATATCCATCCTGGGAGGTAGGTTAGGTTGAGAATGTCCCACTGGACCAAGACAATCCGGCAAGCGTTGTGGCACCGTAGAACCTGGGTTCCACCAGTCCTAGTCATAGTAACCATTAAAACACGCTAATCCCTATATCAATACTGTTCATCTGTATAGCCTAAGTCAGGGACCCCTATTATTAATGTTATTCAGATGTTTTATGTTTGATGTTTTTATCATTGCTATACATCACCCAGAGCCCTGCAGTAGCAGGGATTGGGCGATCCATAAGCCCAATAAATAACAACAACAAAAACCTTGGTGAGCTGGTAGGCACGGCTGGAACAGACAAGGGGCACTACCACAAAATGGCTGCCACTGGGACGAAGCCATCACAAAATGGCCACCATGGGAGGAAGTGGGGATCAGGTCTTTGGCCAAAAGAGGAGATACTGCTCTGTTTCAGCTTCCAAAGGAAGGGGAAGGTTTCCTTCCCATGTAGCCATGGGGAGAAGATGCCAAGACCAGAAAAGTAAGAGAGTCTGTGTCAACTATGGCCAAGCAGTGGGCTCAGCATTTTGCTACACAGGCTCAGAACCCCGTGGTTTTATCTGTTCCACTTAAAACCCTCTGGATTTCTACCTAGAGCAAGTGGGTGTCAAGAAACACCTGGGCAGAGGCTGGGTTGGAGACGGCTGGCCTAACAGGTGATGGAGGCCGGCTCTACATGTCTGCCTGCCCGTAGGCAGTGGTCTCATCTTTCCCACTTTGTGTGGGCCACGTGAAGAAATTCCCCCGCTCACTCACAATATCATCAGCTCTGACTCGTAGCGCACCAACGCATTCTTCTCCTGCACCAGCTTGAACCATTCCTGCATTAGCTTGGGGTCGTCCTTCTTCCCCATGCCTGCCAAGAGAAGAATGTGGGTCAACTTTGGGTAGGATTCGTTGCTGTCTCCACGAGCCACCCCTGCAGGCAGGGAGCAAACATGGCGGGGCAAAATGTGCAAAGAAAGCCGAGCAAGATGCTGCCAGAGCACTCTCATCAGATCTACTGAAGTTTGCCTACAACGTACGTGACGGAGAACCACCATCTCCTGTCGTAAAGGTCTCTTCTGAAGCCATCTTTACCCACTGCACCTCACCCCAAGACAAGTAGCCAGAGTCATGCTGTTCTGCTCAGCACCCTGATTCTATCATCCCTTTCATTTTGGATGTATCCAGGCACTTCAATATCGCCCTCGACTGGAACCGAACACAGTGATGCTTACTGCAAGTCGGGTATGTTCTCACTCATCATTTGGGAAGGTACCAAAGGGGAGCTAGGTGGACGCTCATAACGCCATCTGACCCTCCCTGTGTACTCATCTCCCAATTTCCATCTTGGCATACAGTTGCTGAGCAATCGGCCGGCAGAGACTGTATGAAGTTAGCCCCACCAGCTCCTTACCAGACTGCTTCAAGACTGACTTTGGCCCTCTTTGCACTGACTCTTAGCCTTGCATGCTGCACTCCCTCCTTGTAAAGTCATCCGCTTCTTCTACCATCAACACTTTCCCTTCCTCTTGGCTTTTAATGCTCATGCCAAGTGAATCCGCTCAACACACTTCCTAGGTGCCTTTCATTCTTTTAAACAGGTCCCCAAACCGCACAAATGCAGATTCTGCTCGACGCTATTTCCAGATTACTTTCTAACCTGGAATGAAGAAAATCTGTACACGCAAACATCTGAAAAGCAGGAGAAAGAGTGGCAGCTTTTCAAGAACGTCATCCAGCACTTCCTTCAAATCCAAACCTGCTCTTGATCAGTATTTTCAAAATTGTATTTAGAATACTCATAGACCACGTTTCGGCCTCCACATGTCAGGAAGGCAGCTAACAAATTAAAATAGTCACCATCTACAATAAAAAGAATCCAATTTGGGGGGGGGGGGCCCTAATCGCAATCAGCATAAAATCTCAATGGCACTACAAAATACCAACAGGGGCCAGCCCACTCTTAACTTAAAGGTCTTCCAGAATAAATGAGAAGACCCAGTGGGAAAGGTCAACATACCATGGCCATTCATGAAGATCTTCAGGTTCAGTAAAACAGAGAATGCTACAATCACATACAATCCGTATCTACTAAAGTACTATGACAGTGCTCTCCAGAAAACACCACTTTTCGGCCTAGATCCTGAAGATCAGCTCATATGCAAGTGAAGTCCTGTTTGTACCTCTTGATCAAGAGGGCCTGCTTACCTACCACAAGCCTACATGATTTCCTAATGTCCTGCAGGGCATCAATTTTAGCGAATCATTTCAAGGTGCCCTGTATCGATTATCTGTTTCCATCTTTTTTAGCTAAAGTGCTTGAAGAGGGAAGGTTTAAGAAACTGGTATGCTATACCACAACTGCTACACTGCAGTCCCTTACAGGGAAGTAATTCCTACATTTCATTGGTACCACCTGGCTCTTTTGTAAAACTACTGCACAAAAATACTCTTAAGAAGGCAGAAACCATAATATGGAATCTCTGCCTAGCTACAGGTAAAGAGCACAAAATCTGTATCAAAAGTTGCTCTGGCTTTTCCAAAATGTAGAGTCTTCTTGGTGGGCACATGAAAGCCCAAAGTGGAAACTCTAAAAGGAATGGCAAAGTGGTGACCTAGAAGCCAGATGTGACCGTCAAAACATTTCACCCGGCAGCTGGTCACCAGTGTCCCCTCTAGCTGAATTAATATGGAGCTAGCTCACAGTTGTTTAGCCTCCGGCTCACACACTTTTGTCTTCGCTCAGGAAGTGTGGCTCCAGAGCAAACTAATTTATGCAGTAGCCAAATCGCTCGCTCACAACTTTAATGCCAGTAGCTCACAAAGTAGAATTTTTGCTCACAAGACTCCACAGCTTAGAAGGAGCATTGCTGGTCACTATACCGAATCTTAATCCAAGCGCGGCCAAGTATCTGCCCATAGTTTCATTAATATGGAAAATAAAGATGCTATTGTTATGACTCCTTTTGGGGGGGATTTCATATGCTGTTCTCTGATCTGCCTAAAAAGCATGCGCTCCTAGCTATGGAGCACCATTTTGTCAGATGGTGCTGACATTATTACAGAGTCAGACCATCTGTGATCGTAGGGGAAGGTAGTCAATTTGTGCAGCAAAAGTACTTGTCTAGACATTGGACTGCTCTCAGGAGAATACACTGGTCCATGGATGTAGAAAAGCTGATATCTAAGGCCTCTCATCCAACCTTTATTCCTAGGGAAAATAACATGGAGGGCAAACTCATCATCTTCTTTTCTGACTGTGAAGCTCTAAGACGGCAACTGATCCAAGATAACTGGATGTAAACACAAAACCTTAATCTAACCTATTATAGCCTCTTGGTTGTAGATGCGATACCCCTCCGTTATCCAGTTCCAATCGTGCCTTTCTGAGCATCTCTGCACAAGGTGCCCTCATAGCCAGGGTGGATAGAGAAAGGAAGCTTATCCATGCAAATGCCCGGTATGGTGGAGCCATGAAAAGCACTGGGAAATCTTCCCACCCTTTCCATTGTAAGTCTGTCTGGGGAGGGGGAATATCTTCTGGACAAAAGAGCCAAAATACATGTTACCACTGATCTATGAAAACATTTATTTATTGTGTCAGCCAATGAGTAGAGTGAGATGGAAGGGATGGGGAGGAAGTATGAATTAACTAATGAAGGTGCATCATTGAAAGTAGATACAGTGGTTAGCAGAAGTTACACACTGTAATCACAATCCACCCCTTTCCCCCATGCCTTGGGAAACAGAAACTTCACATGGAAAACTGGGTCCACCTGGGACAAGTGAAAAAAAAAAGTTCCTCAGCAGACCAATCAGGGCTATGGTAGGTCAGAAGGTTAGCATTTCATAGGTGAGGGAAGATGGGCAAACCAGTCATAGCAAGAGATGCAGTATTTCTTTAATCTGCTAGTGTAATTTGGTTTAAGGAGAGAGCTACATGCCTTCTCCAGTGATCCCTTTGGGGAAAACCAGCATGCCAAACAGGAGCTTTTATGGGGTGACACCACAACCAATGCAGATAAATGCGCCAATGACTTGGGAGAGCTATTCTTGCCCCCACAATGTACAGCTAAGAAAGGGATACTGTACCTTTAAGATACTGCTAGGCATGCTTCATAACAAGATAGTTACAGAGGATTTCATTGATATCGAAGGAAAGAAGAGGAAAATTTGGTGGTGAACCACTTGATTCTGTCACTAACTTACTAATGTCCCTACGCCAATTGAAGTGCGGTTTTGGAAGGAGATGGAGGGTATGCAAGATGTTACATTACCTTCATGGGCACAGCAAGGGCAGAAGGAGAGAGGTCTACGGCGTGGTGTCCCGGCATTGGGCTCAACTTCAATAGGACCAAAGATGGGAGAGGAAGAAGGGAAGGGGAGAGGAAGTTGGAAGTGGAGAGGAAGAGAGGAGAAACAGGGTGAAAATAAACAGACAAGCAAAAGGACAAAAAAGCACAAGAGTGAGAAAGAAAGGAAACAACAAGAAGAAAGTAGAAAAGAAACAAAAAATACAAGAAATGAAGAAGCAGAAACAGGGGAAAACAGTCTACAGATGGAACGTCCCTTGTCAACATGAATAATGAAGAAGAGCAGCACTGGGAAAGGAAACTGCGTGGGCCATAAAAACCACTGGGATGAGGAAAAACTGCCCAGATGTGACACTCCTTGAGGCTGTAGAGTTTTCGTCCAAATGCCAAAGTTCATAGGCAAGAGCTTAAAGCACCAAGAGCAGGGTGAACAATAGTATGCTGTTAAGGAACCAGGACACCCAACAGATTTAGAAAGGACTTCTTTCAATCGGCCTGGTTTTTCGAAGTCGGCACATTCAACATGTTATCTCATGACAGTGCTGAAGGAAGCCAGTTGACAGTGGGAAACATAGTATATTTAAAAAACAAGGCATCTTGGGGTTAAACAGAAGAACCTGACTATTCAGTGTCTTCTGAAGAAAACATTTTGTTGTGATAAATCATGTTTTTGAGACATGGATTAAATGGCGAGGCACATCAACAGATGTGTAAAGAAACTGTTGGCCAATTAGTATTCCTGACCGTATGTACAAACTAAAAACTTCCCATCTTCCATCATCACCAAAATAAGGCTGCATGACAAAGCCATAGACCATACAGTAGTATATAATGGCCCTAAATTTCCCGCCTTTTTTAATGTACATGAAGACAAAACAGGCCTTGCATCGAAACGAAGGCTCAATTGGCATTTTATTGCATCAAGTTTTATATTTTAGGTGCTGCCAATGGCTCAGTTCTGGTAGAAAGTTCTGCAACACGTTCTGGTAATATGTAAAATCAATTTTCCCCTCAAGGAGTTTTGAGCGTGTACCCAGTAACAGCTAGGAATATAGCCTTTTCCAAACTTCTGATAATGGAGGCATAATTTTTTCCCTCCCTAAATTAAAACTGGAAGCATACTTTTCACCCCTCTATGTCTGTATGAGTCACTGTTCAACTTCAGGACATTCCCCCTGAGTCAAAGGAGGCAAGGAGAGAGAACTGACTCATTCAGAGAAACAGTGGGCAGCCACCTCTGTAGATAAGATACTGTGGTCTTGCAGGAGCCTGCCTTTCTCTGATGGTGCTCTCCTAGCAAGCAGGATGAGACCAACTGCCCATTAGTAAAGAGATGAAGAATCCATAAAGACCTTTGGGTGTATCGCTTAGGAGATCTGTCAGTAGTAATGGTGAAGGGAAACTGTTAGTGTGTGAGGAGGAGGGACAGCAAGATAAGGGATATCCATAACCCACGGGAGGGGGGGGGGGAATCAGACCTACATGCACAAAACCAGACCTACATGCACATAAATAGAGAGAGGGAATCACCGTTCTTGGTATGGAGACCTATAAAGCTGTGGGGAAGGAAGGGCTTTCAGAAGGGACCATCACAGAACTAGAGCAGAGCACACAGGACAGACCGAAGTTAGAGAGCAGGGCACATCAACTCACCAGTAGTGTGAATGAGCCATAGGACACTCTCAGACAGGAAGAAACATTTATAATTGGGATCGGAAGGGTTAAAAACGGAGGATGCACGTACGATGGTGCAGACAGCAGCCATTTTGTATACAGGCTGCCACAGGGAGGGGCCCTCTCCTTGTTCCATACCAACTGTGCCTTTCTGAGCATCTCCACATCAGTGTGGCCTATCTGCGGTCCTTGTGAAAGCTACTCTATGCTCCCAAGAAGCCTGGGTGTGATTCACCAGCAAGTAAGTATCAGCATAGGCTGCCACAGGGAGGGGCCCTCTCCTTGCTCCATACCAACTGTGCCTTTCTGAGTGTGGCCTATCTGCGTTCCTTGTGAAAGCTACTCCTCTATGCTCCCAAGAAGCCTGGGTGCGAGTCACCAGCAAGTAAGTATCAGTATTGCAGTATTGCAACCAAGCTCTGTCCTGGACCAAAGCCTATCAAAAATGCGCAAGCTCTGAGCACAGAAATTCTGTGATAGGAAGAAATCCAACAGATATATTGTCTTTCCACTGCTCCATGTCCCTCATTATGTGAGCCGCCCTGAGCCCGTTCGTGGGGAGGGCGGGGTATAAATACAATAAAACAAATAAATAAATAAATTATACTAACAAAATTATTATCCTCTCCATGGACAAAGCCATCCTCAAGAAGATACATATTCATCAGGGCAAGTCTATCATAATTGAATTTGACCACCTAGCACAGCTCATATCAATAAAGCTCCCATTAACTATAAAAATAACTGATTGGGTAAGGTACCCCCTCCACCAAATTTCCAGTATTAAAGATTATTTCAACTACATGCTATTTATATATCTATGTACATATAAGAATTCCTCCTCATGCCAATGGTTTTTGGCCAATGGTTCCTCAGTTTGTATACCCAAAGGTGTCTCAGAGCGGCTTACAAACTCCTTTCCCTTCCCCTCCCCACAACAGACACCCTGTGAGGTGGGTGGGGCTGAGAGAACTCTGACACAAACTGCTCTTTTTCAAGGACAGCTGTGCCAGAGCTTGTGACTGACCCAGGGTCACATCAGCAGGTGCAAGTGGAGGAGTGGGGAATCAAACCCGGTTCTCCCAGATTAGAGTCCGTGCACTTAACCACTACACCAAACCGGCTCTCAGAGTCTGGAGGAGACAATTCTCTTCCACCGTGCTAAAGTTTCCATCTGATAACTCTGGACTGAACAGGCGGGACGCTTTACAGGGCTTACAGCAATCACTGAAATATGACACCTATTTAAAGCAAGACCTCATATTCCAGCAATCTGTTTGCTAGGTCATCCCAAATAAAGCTGTAAGCCTAACTAGCTTTAGTGGTTAAGTGTGCGGACTCTAATCTGGGAGAACCGGGTTTGATTCCCCACTCCTCCACTTGTACCTGCTGACGTGACCTTGGGTCAGTCACAAGCTCTGGCACAGCTG